TGTGTTCATTCTACAACAAATTTTTGGTTCCGCTCTTGTTGATCCCGATCTCTAATGCTCCATTTGATAGGGAGGATAGAAAGTAGGAAGGATTGAAAGTAGAATGAATACACTTTCTATCATTCAAGAATGAAAATAGAAAGGATACACTTTTTTTCCTTTATGTTTGGTTAGATGAATAAAAAATAAAAATAATTATTTTTTTTTGTGCTGGCTAAGATTAGGAGCGACAATCAAGTCGTGTCATGTCAAATTCGTGTTGAGTCATTACGGGTTTGTGTCAAATATTAGTCAAACCTAACTTAACTCATTTAACTAATTGTGTCGTGTGGAGTTGCGAATTGATATTTTTATTTTCGTATCGAGTTCGAGTTGTGTCATCGTGTTGAGTCGAAAATTTTCACCCTTAATTAAGATGGAAAAAATATTTTTTTTATTTGAAATTTTAATTTTAATTTTTTTTATTTTTTTTAAAATTTTTTTTTACAATTTTTTTAAAAAAATAATATATATATATATATATATATATATATATATATATACACATAATATATGTATATAAAAAAAGATATATAAACAAATAAGATACATCTTAACACAAATAATTGACTTTCTATCCACTTTTCTTTTGATTTTGGAGAGATTGATTTTGGTGAGTTAAAAAGAAAGTTAATTCATCAACTTTTCTATCCTTCCTATTTTTCTTTTTCACCAAACATGATATTTTATTTATCTTTCTAACTTTTCATCTACTCACTTTTTCATCGTATCAAAAGGATCATTGTGCGTGCAAGATCCTGCACAATATAAAAAACGGGAACAACTCTCTCTCTTGGTGAACTTTGCGTGAACCGGCTGGGTGACTAACCACGCTGCTCTGGTATACCCTGCGAGGTCAGATGGTAAATTGGAGCGGCAACGGGAGACCCTGGGTGAGAGGGAGAACGATCCAGTAAAGCTAAAAAAGGATCCTGGAACAAAGAGGAACAGGTTAGAAGGGCGCCGGAGTGTTTTTCGGCGTATCCCCTCTGACGATCTAGTCAGTCTTTGAATGAGAGAGAGAGAGAGGAGAAAACACTGAGAAAGCTCTATTGTAGTAGAGAGTTTTTTTATTGCATACCCCCCTTTGCCTTTTGGGAGGAGTATTTATACCTTAAAAGCTCATGATTGCTGTCAGTGTGGTCAGTAGGTGATCATCAGGCACAGGTAGCGTGTTGTATTGATTTGATGAGGAATGTCTTCTCTAATTGACTGCTCGGGGTCCCGAGCAATCAATGTTGAGTCGTCGGGACGCCGACGGTACAATATGCTCCTTTCGGGAAGGATGCAATAAATGTTCTGTAATAGGAGCATTTATTGCCTTTCATATCCGAACCTTACCGCATTGAATGCGGTCTCGTCAACAGAAGAGTGCAATTAATTGTTTGCTTTCCCAAGCCAAGTGTCAGTAACGGCGTGCAGTTTGTCTGTCTTTGATGTGACATCATTTGCCACACGTCCATCCCTTATTGGCTGTGATTACTGTATTCCGGTATGTTCTGACATTACTTGTGTAAGACGAGGTCATGATGAATAGTCTAGACTTGGCATAGGCTGATGACCCGTACGTCAGTAGCTTTATCCTGGAGTAGAGGAAGCGTCCAGGACGGAGTAACTCTCGGCACCGAGGAAAGGCTCACCCTGGGGACCGAGGGTGGTATGTTTCCGAGGTACATGGGTGACCGAGGACACGTGTTGTTGTATAATACACCGAATGCATGATCCTATATGAGAGGTACCTCGGGGGCGAGGGCACTCGTTGCCGATGGTGCTTAAATCCGAGCAACACTGTTTCAGCAATTCCGAGAACACGTGTCTTCATCATAGGGCTTTTCAGAAGAGTCCCATCAATCATAATAGACGTTAACCAGGAGAGGAGAGGAGAGGAGAGGAGAGACAGGCAGAATAAAAGAGAGGTGAAGTTGATGGTTGTGAAATTCCTTTCTTTGTAAATTTGTATCAAAAATCAGTCAATCTGACGGCCAATTCCTATGAAGGGTCACGATCGGAAAAACAAGATGATGACACGTGGAAGATCGAAAAACAAAAAGCAGACCCTAAGCCAAACAGTGATATTGTCACTTTAATACAATTTTATCAATAATTTTAGTTTTGTAAATATAGATGTCGTTACTTGAATACTTACTCATCAGGTCTCACAGTGATATCGTTATTAATAAAATTATATTAAATGAAAAAATTTTGATTCTCTATTTTACCCTTATAAAAAATTTTAATTACTACATTATCTTTTCATAGTTAAATATATAAATTATAATTACATCCTTATATATTTAAATCTCTAATTTACTCTCTAACATTTCTTTTACTTTTTTATTATCTTTGTATAAAAGTCAATATCTATAAAAAAAAATAAAATTAATTGACTACGTTACTCTTAAAAATATATATGTATTATTATAATTTTCAATAAAGTGTTCAAAAACTTCATCAATAAATCATACTTTTTTCAAATATATAGATAACATTATGACTATATATATATGTATTTTTTTCCATCTATACTATTAATAGAGAATGAAATGTTTGTCTTAGCATGAAAAATTTTTGATTCACTATTTTACTCTTATAAAAAATTTTAAATACCACTCTATCCTTCAATATTTGAATACCTAAATTGTCATCATATACTTATATGTTTAAATCTCTAAATTACCCCTAATATCTCTTTTATTTCTTTATTTATTTTATATAAATATCAATATCTTGAAAATTTTTAATTGACAATGTTAGCTTTAAAACATATATGCATCACCATAATATTTAATAAAACGTTCAAATTTTTTTTTAAAAAAAAAACTTTATCAATTTAATATTACTCATTTTAAATATAAAGACAACATTATCCTTACATGTGTATTTCTTTCATCCAAAATTTTAACAATTTAATTTTTAAGATAAAAAAATAATCTTTTACGTAGTTTTTTTTAAATAATTTATATTAAATCAACATAATTTTTCAATCATAGAAAACTTTTCATATTTTATTAAGAGTTTATATAAAAAAATTATATTGTATTTTTAAATAAAACTTGAATTTTAGAATTTTAATATTCTTTTTAAATTTATATTATAGAGTTGTATATTATATTTTAAGATGAATAGCATTTTTAGTCCCAAAAATATGCATGTTTTGTCTGTTTGGTCTTGATTGTATCAATTTTGTCAATTTGATCCTTAAAGTATATTAGTTAATGTTTAAATGATTCATATACAAAAAATTTGTTAAGGTTTTTTATAAAAGTGATCACGTGATACTATTTGACAAAATAACATCATGTTATTTTCATCAAAAAACTTAATGAACCATCTGGTTAGGGACTATTTAAACAAGAATTAAATATTTTAGGGATCAAATTGACAAAATTTATATATTGAGGACTAAACTGACAAAAAGCGCAAACTTTAGAAAACCAAAGTGTTATTAATCCTATATTTTATCCCTATTAACTCAATTAATTATAGTAAGTATTGATTAGAATATTAAAAATTATTTTTATTTATTCAATGAATTATAAGTTGAAACATAATCAAATGAATTTTAAATAAATTATTTTTATCATTTTTTTTATACTTAAAATACTGAATCGTTGATAACAAATAATATTTTTAAATTCTATAATATAATACAAGCAGTAAAAAGATCCATTCGAAATATGTCTAAAAGTACGGTATAAAAATCAAAAACCAAATTGAACGGCCAATGAAATTCCAAAACCTGTGCATCGAATACAAATCTCAACACTGGACAGGCTTCAACAGTGGATCCTCACCTGGTATTAATTGGAACCCTGAAGAAACAGCCGTCCAAATTGTTTTAGCAAAATTACAATGATAAAAAGGTGGTTCACAGTTTCTGAATGTTTGTAACAAAGAACACATCTGCTTGCCAAAGATATTCCCAATTTCATTATATCTGGAGTCCATAGGCAGAGCATTTCATATAGCTTGAATTTGTTGTGCCATAAAGTGGCATTTCTTGTGCCGTGAGGGGAAGAGCTAGAGTTTGCGCACATATTAGTTGCTGCCCACACAGAAACAAGTCGAACATCTTAACTCGGTTGGATTATCTTGTAAAATTGTATTCCCTACTCTTCGATAGAACTGCAGAATTGATGACTTGTGCGACACACAAAATTAGGTGGGTGTATTTAAACTGTTGTCGTTCTAAGGACATGGCAACAAGTGACCTGGATGGTTGTCTTGTTGCTGTGAATAGTACGTGCTGATCACAGGAAAATAAAGAGCAGAATAAGCACCATATTGTTATGAAAATATAATCTCTACCCTACTCTCCACCTTTTGTGAACTTGTGATTTCAGCCAGTGGGGTTTCAATGAGAGGCCTATTGACCCCTGGACTTAAGACACTACAATATTAAAAATCGAACTGATCTTGTAGTATTTGTATTTTAAATAATAATTTATTTTTTTTAATTATACAATTTAAAATTAAAATGAAGAGAGAGAGAGGTGTGAATTAATAGAATTATTTGACATTAAGGAGTGTAATGATTGCGTTGTTTTCTATTGAAAGTCGTGCAAAGAAATTGATATTTTGGAGTAGGAAAAAAAAATTGAAATAAATTAGATGAATATTTGATCAATTTTCATTGTTGTTGTGATTTTATAAGTTGAGAATTCAATTTTCTAAGATAAATTTGTGAAGTTTTTAAATGTTCAAAGTGTAAATATTTTTGAATTATATTTTGATAGTAATCCTTAACAGTATTGTTAATTATGAACCCTTCTTCTTTGGCCGTTTATCAACTTGTATTAATCCATGATCCCATAATGGTTACAATACACTTGTCTTTGGATGCATGGTGTAAAATGAGGTTTTTTTGACCGAACAGATTTACGAGTCAGTCAAATATCAGATCTAGAACGACGATAAATACTTATCTGTTCAAACAATGCAAGTTGTTTGTCTGTTCCAAATTCCGTTACAAGTACTGTGTTCTGTACAGATTTTTACCTCCAAAAATGCAAAAGACCAGTCAATCAACAAGAATACAATAGGGTCAAATTGTTTGAAGGTACATGATTCTAATTGAATTAGAATTCTTTTTCCGACTAGTAGCAACCATGAGACCCACCAACCATTAGAATTCTTTAAGAATCATATTTTCCTACTGAGAGAAAAAGGTCAAACATCAAATTCTTCTGGAAAAAAATCTGCATCCCTAGTTGGACCCTTCCGGAGCTTGTTTTGGAGCTCCAACTGCTTGGGGAGAACAAGTTCAATTCCATGACCTGTGAAGGAAAAATATCTCTCCAACACCATCTGTAACTCAAACAAAATGGGCAAAAAAAGAGTGATAAACATGTCAATCTATTGGTTACATTCTCCTATTTCTGCTTCTGTTTGCATTCTGTGATAAGTGATTAAGCAGGGGATCTATAGGGGTCCATATGCACAAAAAGGGGGAAAAACAGTGAGATTAGCACTTCTCTTTAAGTAGCAAAAAACTGAAAACTAAACAAATAAATAAATACATTGAAAACACACACAAAAAAAAAAAAATACATTGATAAAGGGAACACAATGCATACCATAGCGGCATAGGCATCAATGCTTCCTTGCCGAGCAAACTTACTGAGACCCCTGAAAGGATTTGAGACTACCGCTTTAACAAAATTTGTAAGTTCCTCTCCTGGAGACTAATCAGCACTACTTTGTCTAAAATCATCACATATTCAACATCATAAGGCCACACTTCCACATACAAACTAAGTTACTGATGTCATTAATTCTTATGAAGAGAAATATAGCAACAACAGTAACAATAAAAATAAAGTGTACAAAGCCTGAAAATAAAAATTTACAGATGCACTGCTGGCCAGTTTCTACGGGTTAGATATATTTGAAAAAAAAGGGCGACCCAGTGCATGAGGCTCCCGCCATTGAAGAGTGTGGGGAGAGTTAAATGTATGCAACCTTACTCTACATGCGGAAAGGCTGTTTCCATGACTCAAATCGTTGAGGCCCCTGGTCACAATGGAGCAAAACTAACTTCTGCACCAAAATCCATNAAAAAAGGGCGACCCAGTGCATGAGTCTCCCGCCATTGAAGAGTGTGGGGAGAGTTAAATGTATGCAACCTTACTCTACATGCGGAAAGGATGTTTCCGTGAATCAAATCGTTGAGGCCCCTGGTCACAATGGAGCAAACTAACCTCCGCACCAAAAACCACCCTCCAGTATTTCAGCTTTTAGTGGGCATTTTCTATTCACTAATGTCATTACTCTTATCATTTTTGCAACTGTGGGACCAGGAGACTAAAATGTAGGGGATGCTGCAATTAACCCTTTCCACATAAGGATATCAAGGTTCCACTTCATTCACCGTCTTCTCAGCAAAAAAATGGAGTATTGTCAAATCCAAATGAAGTTACTCTTAGTTGTTGATGCTTCAGAGACTAGGGTTGAGGCATGTGCATTTTTGTAAAAGGTGGAAGACAAACCGGACCATTGTATTTTACTTATATTCGAAAAAGTCTATTCTGATTGTAATATCATTGACAAGCTCTCATTGCTATGTAGTTGTAAGCATGAGATATATCAACACCCCACCCCACGCACCCATGGAGGATTTTGTGTTCAAATTTCGTGGGAAACACAACACACTGGTTCAACCGCCATGTATCCTTCTAATGCTCCATCACAGATACATAATTTACATCATTCACATAAAAGTGACATTAAACAGATCCATATAAACTAATGCCGATTCTTTAATCCTTGTAAGGAAAATTCCAACAAAATAATTAAAATTCAAGAGAGAAATTATTACATATTAATCATACGGTCCATAGTCTCGGTTGATGTCCCATGCTCATCGTGCAGGTACACTCTCCAACCCCTGTATTTTAGAATGTATGTAAGTAGTCAATCTAACAGAAATTGAGACAAGAGTCTAGCTAGCAATAGATGTAAGACAAAAAAACAGGAAGAACAAATATGAATGTCAAACAGATGTCATGTCATGCTTCCATAGGAGGAGTCTTTTGCAAAGAAATAATAAGTGAATGAACTTAAGCATGATTTATAGCTCCTAGAACTTTTTCCAAAATATAAATATGCAACACTCCAAAAAGTGTGATTGATCCTTGTATCGATAGGTGAATCACACAAATCTGAGGAATTTCTTTCTTCCCGTCAACCAGGACAACTGAAACCACATGAAAAATTCAGACTATTATTTCTTTTTTTGAATGAAAAGTTTGCTTATCATTTTTCTATATGACAAAAATATACAGATGATATCGACCAATCCCATGCTTTCAATTGCTTTGAACATTTCTTTCACAATATTTCATGTTTCAAGCTTTATGCTGATCAAATCAATTGTCATCATCCCTAGGAATCCCATCTTGACTTGATCATATGTATATAGTACACAACTACACATATGTACATGTACTTCATACACTTCTAACTTGTACAAAGAAGATAGGATGTAAACATCAGCTGGAAACTATGCTGAGACCAGACTTCGAAACGCAAATTAGAGTCTTTTAAAATTGACAAAAACAAGCTGTATCCTACAATATAATATTTTTCAGGATGCGAGACTAATTGAGGATGGCAGCAATTTACAATTTCAATTCTAACAATAGAAGTCTTACCAATTTTATGAATAATACTTTCATAGTATATTATGTATGTGGTTCTTCACTCCAACCAACATTTACTCATTCAACTGAATGTATAAAAATGAATCAAATCCATGAATTATATGGCTTATGGTCAATTTTTATTTTTTTTTTATCAGAACTTATGGATAGTTACGTGATACATACTTTGCCTTAGCAGGCTCTGGGATTCAGACGTCTCATCCATCCAGAAGTATACAATAATGTATGGGTAATGCGTGAGGTATTTCCCGATAACAAATACTGGTACAAACTGCCATATATTGAATTAAACCACTCAAAATACAACCTTTAAATCAATATGAACAACCTCATGTTCTACCCTATTACATAGGCCAAAGCATTAAAATTTGACAGATATCAGAGAAAATGCTAGTTTACTTTTGCTGATTCTTATCTTTGTTACACATAGAAATCCCCCTTTTCCATTGTAGTTTTCTCCCCACCACATTAAATAGTCTGGGGGTGGCAACAACACACACCATACCTGTACTGGCTTGAATTCTTGTCCACACCATATGGAGGTGCAACCGTGCAAGTCATACCACTTAAGCTCAAGCCCTTGTTGTGAGACATGAATCTAGATACTGTTCTTCCTTTGATCATTTATTTGTTAGTGTAAGTTTTAGCATAATGTTTACAATAGCATATGCCTTTTTGCACCTGAATGTTTCCAAAACCTTCATATGAGACAGTCCATTCTTGGTGTCCATGACATCCCATCCGAAACTCAAATTATATGTCTTTTCCACAAGCTGAATTTTGAGCAAATCAATTCAGAATTGAAAAATCAGAAAAGCAAATATCCTGTATTCAAGAACATCTGTCTGAAATGAATTCAAATTCCCAAAGTACCATTGCATATCCAGAAAATGAATTCCCATAGCCAAAGGTCCTTAATTCACAAACCTAAATTTTAAATGAAACTCAGATACTAAACAAGGTTGAAAAACTGCAAGTACACAATCATATCTATCCGTTTGAGCCTGACAATCCCTAATGAACGAAAACATGAAACTCCCAAAGTAATCACAAATACCACTTTAGCATAAGAATTCACCTCTCTGCTGCTCGAACTGCAAGCCTACCAGCAACAGAACGAACTTTATTGGACTGCGGCATCTCTTTTCCATCAGAAGACTTAGGAAGTCCTATTATGAACTCATCAACCTCCTACTACATACCAACTCACAATCGTTACGAATGTAGGAAAAAAAAATTGACCCACACCAGCAAATCAATCAGAACCCACACCCACAATTACGAAATCACTCAAACCCCATATGGGTTTTCTATCTCTCTTAATTTACAGCCACTAAAGACATTAAACCTATCTCTATATCAATATCTATGTCTGTGTGTGCATGTGAGTGAGAGAGAGAGGGTCCTGTACCTGCTTCTCAGCAATGTCAATAAGTCGAAGCTCAAGCTTTTGCCCTCTCAACTCCAGAACCTAACTCAATCAGCTCATTAGAGGCCACAATGTATGTCTGAGAGAGATAGAGACAGTAATTGTGGCAGTTATAAACAAATACGCACCGTCAAGGGTCGAACAGAGAAGCCCTTGCTGAGTGCAAGGCCGGTGCGGGACATACCCAGATCCACCCCTAGACTGAAACCTCCTCTCCAGTTCCGGTCACACTTCCGGCGAAGGGCATTTGGGGGAATGTCATCCAATGACACAGTCAATGTTGTACGAACACTAGAGCAACGGATTGATGAAGATAATTGAAACAAAATAGGAGCAGTAGAGCCCTTTGGAAGGAGAGTCAGCGAAATTGGTGATATGGGCTGTAGTGATTGCAGAGCCATTCATTCAGAGACTCTGTCTCTCCCCAGACCAACAATTCAGATACATACTTCTGCTGCTTCTGCGTTTCTGTATCTGACCCCAAGGGAGAGGAATAAGAGGAGATAATTAACAGCGAGACGACACCGTTTCAGTATCTAAAAGTTTGTGTAAATATGATAAATACCCTTGAATATTTGTACTGGTTTAAATGTGCCGCTTATACTTTTACTTTACCCTTCAACTCTTTAAATCGGAACAACCACCTATTTATGTCAAACTTTTGTTTATTATAAAATAATGGAAAAGCCCAAATAGTATTTATTAAAAGCTAATTTGTTTATATAATATATTACAACCATTGAATTGCCTACGGATATAAAAAAATACTGAAATTCATTGTCAATCGATGATTGTTAGTGACTAGTTAAATCCTAGTAATATTACTCATATACATAATTTAGATTTATGCAAAATTCTTTTAGGGGCGAGGATAAGTGCTCACTTGTTTAGTCAATACGCTGAGAGTTCAAGTCAAAAAATAGTCTCTTTAAAGTAGAATAAAACCGCAATTCATTTATACATTCTGGGTAGTTTTATATAGTTTTTTCCCCCCACAAANCTGAAACCTCCTCTCCAGTTCCGGTCACACTTCCGGCGAAGGGCATTTGGGGGAATGTCATCCAATGACACAGTCAATGTTGTACGAACACTAGAGCAACGGATTGATGAAGATAATTGAAACAAAATAGGAGCAGTAGAGCCCTTTGGAAGGAGAGTCAGCGAAATTGGTGATATGGGCTGTAGTGATTGCAGAGCCATTCATTCAGAGACTCTGTCTCTCCCCAGACCAACAATTCAGATACATACTTCTGCTGCTTCTGCGTTTCTGTATCTGACCCCAAGGGAGAGGAATAAGAGGAGATAATTAACAGCGAGACGACACCGTTTCAGTATCTAAAAGTTTGTGTAAATATGATAAATACCCTTGAATATTTGTACTGGTTTAAATGTGCCGCTTATACTTTTACTTTACCCTTCAACTCTTTAAATCGGAACAACCACCTATTTATGTCAAACTTTTGTTTATTATAAAATAATGGAAAAGCCCAAATAGTATTTATTAAAAGCTAATTTGTTTATATAATATATTACAACCATTGAATTGCCTACGGATATAAAAAAATACTGAAATTCATTGTCAATCGATGATTGTTAGTGACTAGTTAAATCCTAGTAATATTACTCATATACATAATTTAGATTTATGCAAAATTCTTTTAGGGGCGAGGATAAGTGCTCACTTGTTTAGTCAATACGCTGAGAGTTCAAGTCAAAAAATAGTCTCTTTAAAGTAGAATAAAACCGCAATTCATTTATACATTCTGGGTAGTTTTATATAGTTTTTCCCCCCCACAATTGCAATAGACCAGTTAAGCAGCAAGTCCTCTACAAATGCAATAGGTAATTCTCTGCATCCCTAGGTGTAGTCTTCCAGAGCTTGTTTTGGAGCTCCATCTGCTTGGACAGAACAAATTCAATTCCATGTCCTTAAGAGGGAAAAATCTCTCTCCAGCACCATCTGTAGCTGAAAAAAGGGCCAAAAAAAAAAGTGATAACATGTCAATCAGTTGGCTACATTTTACAATTTCTACTTGCATTCTGAAATAGGTGAATAAGGAGGGCATATGATAAATGATGGTGTGATAATCACACTTTTTTTTTTTTTGCAAGTACGATTAGCACTTTCCTTTGTATGAGAAACAATGGAAGCAGTATGTAGCCAAAAAGACAAAAGAAATTGATAAATCGAACACAATGCATACCATAGCAGCATAGGCATCGATTCTCCCTTGCCGAGCAGACTTCCTGAGACTCCAGCAAGGATTTGAGATGCCTTCCTTAACAAAATATATCGGTCCAGGCACTACTTTGTTTAAAGTCACATACTAAACATATTAAGGGCATACTTCTAATAGCAACAGTAACAACAGTAATAAAGTCAAGTGCAGAAAGCCTGAAAATAAATATTTACACATGTACTCTTGGCCATTCCTACCGGATAGTAATTTCACATAGTGGATCATTAATGCTATTACTTTCATATTAGGATTTCATGATTCCAGATCATTCACTCTCCTACCAGCAAACAGGTGGAGTATTGTGGAATCCAAATGAAGTTAAGTTGTTGATGCTACAAAGACTGGTTGGAGATACAAAATTTAATGTGTGCGCATTCTTATAGCCATTGTATTCTACTCATCTTGAACGAGTCTATCAGGATTGTAATATCATTTTGACAATCTACATTCTCATTGCTATGTAATTCTGAGCATGAAATATATAAGTATCACACCCCACACCACCGGCGGGATTCTGTGTTCAAACTTCATGAGAAACGCAACACACTGGGGTTCAACCACCATCTGTCCTTCTAATGCCCCATCACTGATTCAAGCATTGAGAAACAAAATTAAATTCATTCAAATAACAACGACAATAAACACGACCCTATGACAGTACCAGACATAAAAAGAAATCTGGGAATATGCACAAAAATCAAAAAAAATCACAAGAAAATAATCTTACAAATATAATGCCTTCTAACAAAAAATCAGCCATAGCCAAAAAATTTCAGTTGTGTGGCAATTACTTTTCCCCATCTGCTTAACAAGATAAATACATGTTTTTTTTTAATAAGAAACTGAATTTCATAAATAATGAAGTATTACATGAGCCGAAACAAAGGTGGACAAATCGTCCAACTAGAAACCACAAGAAAAGCCATAAACAGAACATGGCATTACAAGGAACCAAAAACCTTGTCAAATGCCACGACACATTCCAACTTATCATAATACAAAAAAGAGAGATATTCCCAAATTCTTCATAAACTGAGACCCAAAAGGAAGCCAAGAGAAAATATATTGACGGCACTGATCTATAAAGACCCATCCATAACTTCAACACAAACTGCATCTACATACATACAGACCTGATCTATAAAAGAATATACAAAAATCATATACCTTTTCAGGAAAACCACCCTTGACAGGATGGTTCTTGATGACTGCTTTTCTGTAGGCTCTTTTCAGATCATCCAGTGAAGCATTTCTGAAACACGAAGAATTTCGTGGCACTTTGAGTTATCACTTTTTTTGGGTACCCTCCCAAACATCTGCCAGCCGCAATTTGACAATCAAACCAAAACCCACAAACTGCCAAATGACATATACACCTATACACATACTGATCTTTTCAAATCTGGAAACAGATCATGAGGAAGCGGAGAAGACAAAGAAGCAGAAACTTAGGGTTGCACATGACAGAAGTCACTTTTAATGTTGTTACGATTACAACTACAATATAAACTTTATATAATCGTTCAGGGGTAAGATTAGAAAATAGAACCACCCATTACGTCAATGTAAGAGATTAATCATTCACAGATTCTTGCATGACATGAGCAAACTTGCAAATATAAGTACATAAGAGTCAAATTATTACAACCTGTCAAGATTCAGATTGTCTACAGTCCAACCTTTCATAAAGAAAAACAGTCCGTTGATTTTCAAAGAAAAGTAAGAGTCCCACCATTACAAACCCCTATACACCAATTCTTGACTCAAATGATCCATTCCGATTTTAAACACACAATAAAGCTAAAACGCCAATCTTCCACCAATTTATATCCAGGAAGATTAGTATAGCATATAGTGGAAGTCATCCAAAAATATGCAGAATATACTACCAAATAAGATCCAGACCNAAGAAAAGTAAGAGTCCCACCATTACAAACCCCTATACACCAATTCTTGACTCAAATGATCCATTCCGATTTTAAACACACAATAAAGCTAAAACGCCAATCTTCCACCAATTTATATCCAGGAAGATTAGTATAGTGGAAGTCATGCAAAAATATGCAGAATATACTACCAAATAAGATCCAGACGAATACCAATTAAAAAAATGTTCCACCTCAACACCTGAGGCTATAAAGAAGCAACCCACTAAAACTCGTCATTCAAAAACACAAGCATAACCCAATTCACAAAGCACATGTCAATTTACACAAAAAATGAGTTCATACGCCACTACANAATATGCAGAATATACTACCAAATAAGATCCAGACGAATACCAATTAAAAAAATGTTCCACCTCAACACCTGAGGCTATAAAGAAGCAACCCACTAAAACTCGTCATTCAAAAACACAAGCATAACCCAATTCACGAAGCACATGTCAATTTACACAAAAAATGAGTTCATACGCCACTACCGGCATGGTTTCAGTCAGGAGTGGATCCAGGATTATGTTCTAGTAGGGGCAAAAATATAAATGAAAAAGATGAATCAATCGGTATAAAAAATTCTCCTCCACCTCCAATAATAAGGATTAATAAATTTTGCAGAATTTTTTTTTTAAGTTCAACTATGAGCAACATATTAACATAATTTATATAAAAATAAATCAATTCAGCATTTAACAAATTATGAACAAACAAGAACAATAATTTTTTTAGTGACTAATTTCAACTCAATCACATATTAAAGAGAAACACAACGATATTGTTTAAAATCTCAAAAATTGTCTATAACTAACCAATTCTATAGTAAATTTCTAAGAAATTTCCTTTTAACCTTGTTCAAAAATTAATATTTTTAGAAGGGTTATGTTGTTTTAAATCTCAAGAATGTCTATAATTAATCAATTTTATGATAAATTTGTAAGTAATTTTTAAATCTTGTTGAGAAATTGATATTTTTGAAAGGGCATAAATGTGCATAACTTATCATTTGCATCTATTCGTATGTTATTATACAATAATATTAAAAAATATGAGAAATTGTATTAAATAAGAGAGATATTGTATTTGGCTAATATATATAATGAGCTAAAGAATCACACATCTTTTTTACTACTTATTTTAATAAAAAAAAAATACTTGTTTTAGTAGATTAGAAGAACAAGTGAACCATTAACTTATTAAAGACAAAAAAGACTAGGACCACTATTTAAACTTTCAAAAATTTTAAAGGGGCAATGAGATAAATTGAACATAACTTTGTTGTCATATCAA